GGGACATGGTGGTGACCTACTCTTGCTGTTCGTTTCCGTCGCTTCCCAATAGCTCGTGTTTTGTAGGAGGTCTCCACCTCAAGCTGCCTTCAGCTGATAGGCTGGAAGCACAAAGAGAGGTGGAGGGTTCACTAAGATACCACGGTACAGTGTATCACCCAGGTAGGAAGCCAAGCCCTGATCCCTGTCTCCATGTTTCTTCCACACGCCCCCTCCCCCCCCCTCGAGGACCAACTCACCTTCACCCTACCCCCTACCTCCCACCTTGCCCCATCGGACAGATTAATTTTGGGCCCAGGGTAATCGTACAAGAAGGCTACTCCCGCCCCCAGGAGGGAAAAAAGAGGTCGTGTTGGTGCCACAAAACATACATCATCTTATACCATCCCGCTTCCCATTCCGGTTTGTGGATCCTTGGGCCGCGGACCGCTTCCATTTCTTCTCCCTCCCCAAGGTTCCCCCCCCCCCATCTTGACTGCACGCGACGGCTCGAGTCGTTGCTCGCGTCCTGTCTTGTCTCGTCTTGGAATCCTTCTCCCCTCGACCGATCAAGTTCCCTCTTGCCGCTCGCCTGATCAAACCAAGGGACTGGGCGATCAGATCTGGGACAATCACCTACATAACTTGGTACCTTTGCGCATTATCCATCTTTTGCTCCCGGCGCAAATCACTCATTGCGGCCTGAGACTCGGATACCGGAAGACGCGAACGGGTCGTCTCGCAAAAGAGGAAGTCCAGCATTCCTGCGAGTTTCGAATCCTGTCGAGACTTTTCTTTGTCGCCTTTGTTTGCATTCCCGCTTTGGAACACTTGGAGGGTCGCGCCGGTCTTGGTTCTTGAAATACTACGCAAGGACTTTAGGGCCATCCCGTTCTTGCCGCGTCTCCTCCACAACCACACGCTTGCCCATAGTCTCCCTGGCTACTCTCCTCAACCTTGGACACATTACCTCACTCAATTCGCAGGCTGGTCTTTGTTGCAGACAAGGGTGCGGCATCAGCCGTCTACTTGGGTTTGATCTCGCTGGTGGTCATCACCATCCTCCTTCCTTTCCACGTCTTCGATGGATTCTAGAGATCATCACAAATATCCTTCACCGCCAGACGACACACATCCCCAGCGCGACCACCTCGGAAGAGATCCACGGGACCGACGGAGGCCCGAAGAGTATTCTACAGGCGAAGCAAACGGACGTAGACCGGCACCACCGGCTCTTAATCTGCCACCCATGGCTTCAAACGTGACACTGCCCGGTATCCAGGGCTTGTATCCAAGCTACCCACCGCCGCCAGGACAGTCGCCCTCGACAGGTCCGGTGCACCCACCGCTTCCCGACCCACGGACCAGCAACTATGCGGCTTCCCCAACCACAGCGAACGGTTACCCACCCGTGCCACCTCCATCAATGCCACCGCAGGGCCACCCGCCTCACGGTTATCCTCCGCCTCCTCCCCATGGTCACCCCGGCCACTACCCCCCTCCTCCTCAGCACCCTGGCCATCCCATCCCTCATGGCGTCCCCCAGCCGCCACCCGGCCAGCACGCACCACCACCTCCCTCGCCGTATGCCGACTACTATGCGCAGCGAGGACAATACCCTCCCCCACCACCTAATTATGGCTACTACCCGCCACCGCCAGGCTATCCGTACGGCGGAGAGTATGGAATGCCCCAGCAGCAACCTCAGATCGCTCCGAGGCAGCGTACCTCGATTGCCTGTCGGTACTGCAGGAAGCGAAAGGTCAGTCAATGCGGTTCTTAATCTATGTGAGCAAGGGGTCACTGACAAGATCGAGTAGATACGATGTAGCGGTTACGCCAACATGCCCAACGGCAAATGCTCCAACTGTGATAAGCTGAGAATCGAGTGCATCTTTCAGCCCGTATCTAGTGGCTCATCGACCGCTTTTATCCCAGTATCAGCTGTTCCAGGCGGCGTACCGCCAGGGACACCGGTATACGGTGCATACGGACAACCCTTGGGCCCCTTGGCTCCAACCTCTGGAGGTGCTCCATCAAATCAGAGCGCATCGTACCCTCCGCACGCGGGCAGCGGTCATCCTGGTAACTACTCATCGCAGCAAGCCCCTCAGCCATCGCCCACTACGTCTCAGTACGCCGGTCAAGGTGACAACAGGTCGGAAATATCAGATAGGTCACAATCGGGCAGGCGGCGTCCAAGGGAAGATGACGACGAGGATCCGGGTCAGCGTCTACCACCGCCTAACCCATATGGCAGCGGCTATGAGCCTAGGAGGCGCTCGCCGGCGTCGAACGATGGGACACCACCAATGTATCATTACCAACATACGTCGCGGAGCTTCGAGGCTGAGAGAACGCCACCGCCTCGCAGAACCAGCGGGGGATACTCACCCTCTCATGCGAATGGTCGACCCACATCAGCGATCTTTGGTGAGCCCTACCCCAACGGGCTGCCTGATCGAGGTGCCTCCTATCCCCCGCCGCCAGCCGCCACCAAGGGCGGCCGTCCATCGCCTCGTGGAGACACTCTGCCCTCACCTGGCATAAAACGAGAAGCAGCACCAAGCACAAACCCCAACATGGCTCCACAACAACACTCGGTTATGAGTCTCAACAATCTGCTTGGTCACGCTACTCCAAAAGGAAACGATATAGACGATAGCATGATTGGTAAGCTCAACAAGCGACACTGAACAAAGCGCCGAAAGGATATGACCAGTGGGGTTCAATCGATATCGTGTGATACTACGGTTCGCGGCAAGGGAGGTCGAGGAGCTATGGCTATCAAGTTTCTCTCGTCGAGTTACTACATTTAATGGAGTATATACTGCCCACTTTGGCTGACTGCTTTCCGTTTGGAGTTTTATGACAACTGTTTCTGTACAGCGGGGGAGAATCATAAAAAAGACAGGGCGGCCTCACGGCACGGAAATGCGAGTCTGTTGTGTCTTTTGGCTTTTACGCATTTGATTTCACTCGCGACAGTCATTACTTTGGAGTCTTTGCTTTTGGCCATGCTCGTTACTTCCCCAGGCCGGCCTGGCTTAGCATGAGCTGGTCTACACTTTACTACTGGCTAGTTGTCATCCTCCTTATTTTGTTGGTAGGACTGGAAGTGTTCGCCTGGGCTACGGGGCGTTTAGTGGAAGCAAGGCTCGTGTTGAAAAGAGCTCTTTACTATAGTACTTGAATGGATATATATAGTCTGCTTTAGACATACAGAATGAACAGCGGCCCACGCCTTGAAACCATCAGCAGTTCCACTTCTAGTGCAGTCTCCAGGCCAGTGAGTGACGTGGGACATCGAAGTGTACTGCGTTCGGGGTGTCATGCGGCAGCAGCCCTTATCCATACCCATCCGTGTCCGTCTTTGCGTTCAAGATGATAGCATCATCAACTCGTGGCTTACATAGTACGCAACGGCCCGACTTCAAACGCGCTCCGTATGTTGAGTCATGAATCAGTACAGGTTCGTATACACATGCCTACGGCATGCTCATCTTGCTTTATCCACGTACATAAAGGCTTGGCAACTGCGGGCGACACGATGCTGGGACAAAAGCAAGGAGGAATGCCTCAGCTGATGGAGCTGTCCCCTATCCTGAACTCCACCCGCCTTCACTGTTGACCATCGTCGGCTGCGGATCTCTGCCGGGAAGTTTCGTGCCTATCTGAACCAGAGTTCCGGCAAGGAACTTCACGATACAACTGGTCGTGGACGCACAGTTACGTAGTACTCGTTCCACCCTAAACTGGCCGGCATCGAGCTAGTCTACACCTATGCGAATACGCTGGGTGCTAGCACAATTCCTAACCTCACAGCGGCAGTTGGTATTACACATCCGCTGGTGCTCCGATCAAGACCCGCTCCTCCTTTTTTTCGCGCTGAGCTGCATAGGTAGCTATTCAATCACAGCTTCTTCAGCGTAACCCCCGATGACAACACTGCGCTAACCTCCCGTTCATCTCTGAGAACGACGCCAATAGCTTTCGCTTTCCGCATCGCCCGCGGCATCCAAGCACGTACTACGGCAAGTTGTCCGCCTTCGTGAAGAATCGAACACCCCTATCAACCACCTCAGGCTCATGAGAATGCTGAAGCCGTTTTCGCAACACGTCAAGGTCATGAGCATTTCTTCTCCAACCTCGTCGGCGAAAGGAGTGGGCACGTGATCACTTGCTCTACGTCAGGACCCAAACCCCACTCCTCCCACGTGGGAGCCACAACTGCGCAATGGGACAAGCCCCAATGTTCGCGCCTTTCGGGAGCAGTCAAACTGGTATCCGACCCGACTGCACTGGACGGAAGAGCGGAACGAGCCGGGTTAGTGAGGCGCCAAGTATTCGGAACACTGGCCCTCCTCCTCCTCTCGGACTCCTTTCCATCTCTCAGCCTTGGTGCATTTTCAGGTTCACAGGCTACAACTTGGCGCATGGGTGTGCAGATCCGCAGCATGTGTACTACTGACTTCTTTCTTGTTTCTGCATTGAACCCTACATAGCACATGCTGTGCTTACTGAGCCAAGAGGGAGGCTACTGTCGTATGCGTATCACGGGACAGGGTGCCGTGAAATTGCGAGCACAAGCAGGCTACCCGCCAATAACCGATTTTGTCGAGTCACGTCGTCCCCCGGCAATACGGTGGCCATGTAATATATGCCCATGAAAAAGGCACGGTAAAATCTAGTCACTTCATTGTTAGCGAAGGTAACGACAGTGTTTCATGACATGTCGGTCAGGGAGTTGTTCACCCATGTCGAAAGCCTGGATCGCGTATTACGATTGCCACCAATGGAACCCTCGTCGGCACTTGAGGCTCCGCCAACGGTTCACCCGCACATTCTTGACCTTTAGGACTGTTGCGTCTGGTCCGTTCCCGAACAAGGCACACCCATAAGTGCTTGGGCGACACACCCAACCTGGCAAATCATAACATCCATCACAATTGGATTCTCTACCTTCTGGGCCAAAACTATCAATGTTCTCAGTGTGAGGATAGGGTTCCCCAAGTGCAAAATGATCGTTGCAGGGGTCGAACCTGCGACCTTCTGCGGTGTCACAAATCTTGTAGGAAATGTAAAGCAGACGCTCTAACCACTGAGCTAAACGACCAATGAGACTATGAGAATGTTGCCTTTGGCAGGCTTATAACAAGGACACCTCAATCCATCGAAATACCACCTACCCTACACTGCGGGCTGCCTACAAGGAGTTCAACACGGTGCTACCCAATTCATCTTCAAGTTGTATTTCTCATCAGCTATATTGGAACCAACCGTGGTATTCAGGATCTTATAGGCGGCATGAGCTAATGTGTTAGCACAGCCTTGACGCGTCAGCTCGCTTTAGATACTGTTCTCGTAGTACGACCCTGCGGGCCTGTCTTTCCATAGCAGATTTCAACAGGTTGTGCGATTAACATATTACATAGTTACCTGGACAGTTTGACCATCATTATGTTTGCCTGTCGGCTTGACCTCTTCCACCAACCATCCGGAAGAATGGGTCCGACCACCTCTAGTCCTTCAGGCCAGGCACAGAAAAGGGATAGCGACTCTCTATCTAACACCCGCGGCACTGTTCTTGGTCTTTATGCAACATCAGAGATGTATGGGTTCGCCCCTGATGCGCAGGAGGCTTGGTACTCTTGGTCTCGGAGCTGCACCGAATACCCTGGCATCGGCGGGATTCAGCCAATGCACAATATCATGGTAGGACTTCAGGAAATGGTGCGAACCGTGGAGAGAGCACGGCTTGGTGGCTAACCAAATATGCGAAACAAACCCAGAGGTGATTACTTTCTGTTTTTCCAACTCAACATGATAACTGTCAATCGTGAGGTAGATTACAACATCGCTCACGGCCCGGTTAGCTCAATCGGTAGAGCGTGAGACTCTTAATCTCAAGGTTGCGGGTTCGACCCCCGCATCGGGCTCAATTCCTGATGTTGCCTTGAAGGGCAAAACCATCATTTTTGCTCGTTGCTTATGTGTAACCCAGGCCCTCATGATGCCACGAGAGTATACTACACTGCCTGACACGAGGTCAACGGACAGGACATCCACTAACAAAATGGTAAAGATAGTCTCAGCCTGAGCCTTGTCGTTTTCTGTGGTAAAAGTTTATGTTTGGGGTTTCTTCCTTGCTGCACGGCTGCTTGCTGAGGCACCTGTACATCAACACTCACATGCTACTTGGGACCATAACCGAGCTCACTTCTCCAACTCCCGAATTCTCTGCTCCTTCTCCTTTAATTCCTTCTCTTCCTGATCGACAATATCCACTATGAACGCGCCACCAAGCAAGATTGCCGGTTCCTTGATGTTGTGATGCTCGTAACTGCCGTCAGTTAGTCTCACATCTCCGTTGTCACCCGTCATGAGTAGTATAGGGGTTGATAATTTACCTCAACGTGCCCACACCACCAGCTTCAAGCAGGAAAGTAGGGCCATCCTGCAAGGACTGGCCTACCCATCGCTGGGCAAACGCACGGAGGATGTGTCCGTGAGCAACAATCAGCACATCACCAGGTTCCTCGGCAGCTTCCTCCTTCGACCTTCCAAACGCAGGAGCTTGCCACTTCGCTCTGATTTCGGCGATGAGCTTGTCTAGACGTTTGGTTATGTCTTCTGGGGATCTGCAGAGTCGTCAGGCATGGTCCATACATAGGAATGGGGCATTGACAGAGGTATGGGTCGAACACTTACTCTCCGCCAGGGCAACCATCCCTCCAGATATCCCAGTTCTCATTGAGGCCCTGCTTCTTCCGCAGCTCCCGGATTTGAGGGGAGGTGATTCCCTCGTAATCACCGTAGTCCCACTCGCGGATGGCCTCGGTCACCTCAATGCCGGCGGAGCATGGCGGTAACGGTGACTGGGGTGGCGTGTCTTTATCGCCATGACGATCCCAGGGAAGGGACTCGTTTGGATTACGAAGGCCAAGGAGCTCAAAGGTCCGCTGCGCACGCTTCCGGGGAGACACATAGCTGTGAGGTGTCAGTACACCACTGTGTGCATTCGTGCTTTTTGAGTATCAAGTGAGGTATGACGGTACATACATGTGCGATAACTTCTTTGGCACAATCAGACGGTCGTTGCCCACCAGTGCCCTACCCGTAGCCTTGATTCGCTTCTCACCATTAGCAGTCAGGGGTATATCCGTCACACCCGTATGTCTGCCATTGAGCGACCACTCCGTCTCGCCATGACGGATGATGAAAACCCTTGGAGTTCCCATGGTTATAGAGTAACCTTTTTCAAAGTGAAACGATGCACTGCCGTGATGTAGGGTGGAGTGCCTAGGAGAGCGTAGCTGCGACTAGTCTTTCGTCAACCGTCCCGTTGCTACTGCACCTCCAGTCGTCCAATGTCTGAGACTCGGCAACCCTTTCCTCAGATCCCGCAGTTGAAACGATCGCTGGTTCCCGATATGGCAATGCAGGCTTGACTGAAACGTGAAAGCAAGGGGTTCCGACGGATATCAAAGTCGTAAAAATAGGTGGCCAGATCGGGGGTTGTATACCTAACAAGAGAATGACAAGAGCAGTACAACCACCTGAGAGCGCCAAGTTAGGACATCTTCCCAGTATTCTTTCTATACACTTATATATTTACCTATGCTGCTAGTCAGCTACTAGCACAGTCGCTGTCAGTCATTGACAGGCTGTCGTCATCGTTCCAGGAACATGGCAGAGGCCCCTCTTAACGCCCCTCTCAGCGGCTTACTAAGGGTGCTTAGAACCGCTGCTCCCGTAGCAGTGGATCTTGCTGATCTTGGCATGGAGCTTGAAGAGTTGCAGCTTGGTAGGTTAATCCAGTCAATATCAGGACCTACTAGAAGGGTGGTGGAACAATCAAATGGTTTCCAGCAACAAGAACAAAACCGACACCCGCCACAGCATTCGCTCAACGCCTCGACGGCCAGTACGGACGATCTAGAAAGTCGTCGCAGCCGAACTTCTAACAGCCGCCCCCCGAGAACACGGTCCGCGCAAACCCGATCCACGTCCTACGTCCGTCGCAGAGCGGAATCCCTTGTCGTCTGGCGTGACTACTGGCCCTGAGCCACCGATACAAGTCCACCATCACAACTTCCATTGCATCGCCATCATGGCGGTAGGCAAAGCCCGCCCAATCCCTCACCACCTCCGCGGCCCTCTCCCTCCACGACCACCGCCATCCTCCTCCCCCACCCCTTCCTCATGGCCGAAATACAAACGCATGGTCTGGACCGTCGCCTTTGCCGCCGTCACCATAGTAGGCACAATATACGGCGCGGGTTTGAAGACGCGGGTAGAGTACAAGCAGGAAAAGGAGAAATTCGTTGAAGCCCCCGTGGAAGAACGAGTAGCGGCGCTGGAACAACGACGAGCTCAGCTTGTGATGCATCGAGGGCAGGTGGAGAGGAAGCTCGTGGAACTGAGGAGGAAGATGGTTGACGAGCCGCAAGGGAGGGATGTTGGGGAAGCAAGCGGCGGAAAGTGAAATTGGGGGAGTCTGGACAAAGGAATGATGGAAGATATTACCCTATGCGTGAGAAAGCTGCGTGCCATGGTGGATGGTGACTGAGGAGGCCAGAGGATGTCAGGCCGCGTAAATCATCCCGACGCCTCGTGTTCGAGTTGTCTGCTAAGGCACAGACTAGAAGAACGTGAGCCTCGCACTTTGGGCTACCAGGGTAGGCGAATTATGGCAACTCCGGAAAGGCGTATGCGAGACACGGTGACGTTGGAAAGGTCCATGGAACGGCGTGCGGTTGTCAGGGTAGGCTCTGTCATAAAGTCGAGTCATTGCTCACATGGGACACGAAGTGAGGTCCAGAAAGTCTCGACCGAGGTCAGCTCGCCGACAGTTTGGTTCACTGATCTGAACAATGAGGGGAGGCATCAGTTTCGACCACAGCAATTACCCATGATTGAACGAGGTGAGCGGCCGTGTTCATGTCCAGTCGCGTCACCTCCAATCAAAGATGGCAGCTTGTGGTTGACAGCTTATAGCCTGCAATAATTACCTAGGTAAACATGTTACTTTGAGTCTGGCCGCTATCCTGAGCTGCCTAAAGGAGCCTTGGAATTTATGGAGGCTAGTATAAGTCCTAAAGCTTTCTTCGATTAGGATGGCGGATCCAGATTAATCAAAGTCCTGATGGCGTCTACGAGAGTTACCATAACGTCTCATACCGCATAAACCTATCTGCCCATTCCATCACAACGCCTGATGGCACAACTAAGATGTAAAGCAAGTACTAGCAACGATGTAGTGTACGTTGGTATTGTCTCATGGATAGAAGTGCAGTGATCCCAGTCTCAAAAGGGCAAAGCTTCTAAGCAATAATTGCACCACAAAAAGCAGAACTCAACGCCTCAGCCTGCCAGCAGCCCTCCGCTCACCTAGTACCGGAACACTTGCCCCTCCTTCTTCGGCGTAGCGTTGTAGCGGTCCATATCATCGTCATCATCGTACAGGCCGGCCTCAAGCTCATCATAGCGACCGGATGGCACCCTGGGCGCGGACGAGGAACCACTGGGTGTCTCCGGCGCCGCAACAGCACCGTGCATCTGCACTTTACCAAGGGCGCTCTCTTGGCGTCCAAGATAGCTGGGCGTTGGAGCGAACCCGGGGTGAAAGGGCCCGGCGGCCAGTCTGGGGGGTTGATCGGATGAAGCCTGTCGACTAGAAGATGCACTGGCGCCGGCGCTGTTGTGACCGTAAGACGGCCGTTCTGGCTCAGGGTCGCGGAAGGGGTCAGATTCGTGACCGTGGCTCATGTCCTCATTGTGGTACCGGTTTTCTATGGTGAGCTTGGAGTTGCTCGAAGGAGCGTCTGCGGACGAGGATGAGGATGCGGCTGCAGGTGCACGACCTTTGCCTTTGGGAGACGGAGGGGTGACAGACGACGCTGGGGTGTTTCTCCGTGATATCTCTGATACAGCCGAGACCGGCTCCGGGCCCCGGCTAGCAGGACTCTGGCCCTGGTTGCCGTTCTGCTCGTCCAGCTGTTTCCTGGCGGAAAGCAAGGCCCGGTGATGTTGGCTGAGTGCCTGTTGTAGCTGATCGTTCGTGTCAATCATGCTCGCCATCGTCTCGTGGTCCGGCGGGGGATTGTCGATAGC